CCTCAATACATAACAATAAAATGCATTGAGATACACAGGAGTGAAGTAGCTTATCAAGCCTGTAGAGAAGACCTGATAGCCTTCCATGACCAGTGGAGACTCTGGTGTCCATTTATGAACCAGCGGTAATAGATCGCTGCTCAGTTCTCCGGCATTCTCGGAGAACACAGTTCTCCTGTGAATGCAGTTTATGAAGCAGTTCTCCGAACGAAGGGAGAACAGTCTCCAAACGCTGGAGAACGGTCTACAAACTCTGGAAAACGGCTCATTTTACTATAATCTTGTGAGATTACAGTAAAAGATCAGTTTACTAAGCAGAGGTAAATTATCTCTGCTTAGTTTGCGGTCCCTCCGATTCTCCAACTCTGGGCTGGAGAATCTGGAGGGAGAACACAGATCTCCAGAGAAGGGCTGAACATATTCTCCTGGGTGTCATAAACTGTGAATGACCAGAGAATAGCTGTGATCCTCTGAATCGCAGCTATTCTGTGTGTCATAAAAGGACACCTCTGTGTGGAAAGGCAACTATCCTGCATCTTTTCAAGGTGGGAAATAATCAGACCTAAGGAAGGAAGACTAGCAGGCTTGGGGCTGACTCACACTTCTAAGTTGCAGGGAGGCAGTGGCGTTACCATGGCTATGCATTTTCGGGGCTCATGTTCTTTATCAAGTCAGAGAATCACAGTAGCTGAGGGGATCTGTTTATAGCAGCCAGAATATGAGTGGGTAGTTTCACATTAGTATGAATAGAAAGGAGAGTACTGGAGAAATCTCAAAACATTTGCATTTCATGTATACAAAATTATGAACAATATCACCGAATCATAAAATGCAGAGCTAATTATATTGCAGCTTACCAATTATTAGATGTGATGCCTGTATTAGTTTTTCTTTTTGGCTTTCTTCCCCTTATTTTCACTTGCTGATATGGCCAGTAAGTCAGTTGTTTTTCAAAAGAACAAGCTGTCTTGCAGATGTTGCAGGTAGAGGGTTGAGACAAATCATGTAACACTGACAAGGGTGCCTACAATGATCAGCTGTTATTTATTTATGTAAAACCTTTATCCAGAAAAGAAAAGAACTGTTGCTGTAACTGCCTAAAAAGTGTTAACTAGAGTTTGGCTACAATTTTGTTAGTTTACTTAAATCTGCTAATATATATCTAACACTGCCATCCCTTCAGGTTGACAATGCTATGCTCCAAAGGTGTCTTTCATTTAGTAGATGTGTTACTGGCCAGCTCGCCAGGTGAAAAGGTAACAAAAAAAGCATGTATCGCAGATCTGTAACTGGTCTGGCTGTTTGATCCCAGGTTCCATTCTCTGATAGGCACACATCGGCCAGGCACATGGTATTACCGAACCACTCAAGTCATAAACCAGGTTGTGCATGGATTTTTTTTTTACAGAACTTGGATAGAGTGAGGGTGAGCCTAGGGATACTCCAATAACTCCAAAACCTGCAGTAGATAACACTTTATCTGAACTAATATGTCAGGGTGAAGGCACCCTCTTTGAAGTGTAGACAAAGAGGTACTAAACAGGGACTCAGCAACAGGAATATAGTCCTGAGTGTACTGGCAGTACAGTAAATCTCCCAAAAGAGGCCAAGGAAAGTCTCTAAATTGAGAAGTCTGGTACTCACAGTGTCCTGAATACTTTGTAGCCACCTATATTATCAGTCAATTTCTGTTCTCCAGCTGCTTGTATCCTGGGTCCTTAGGAAAATTTTCTGCAAAGGCTTCAGAAGAGTAGAACAGAAGTTCCCCAGCCAAACTGAAGCAAGGACCAAATAAAAGATTCTTCCAGCTGCAGGTGGATTTATGCCCCCACAGGTCACCCACGACCATGACCAAGGATTGGCTGGAGAAGCATTAATATGCAGGCTGGGATATGTGTTCTTCAACCCAGCTCCCTGGGATACAAGGGAGAAGTAACTGAGCCCACACCAGCAGAGCCCAGACCAGAACTAAGCAAAGAACTATTGATTTACTGACTACAGGGAGGCCAAAAACAAAATGTACCTGCTTGTAGCCTAATAGGGCTCTACAAAAAGAAAACAAATGCAGACACATCTGAGGATTGGTAAGCTACAATGCGTTACATTTTTGGTTTTGGGGTTAATACCGCTTTAAGCACATTATACAAAGCATGGAAACAGCATACTAAAACTATACACCACTGAAAATTTACACCAGTAATATTCTGAAACATCCTAAGTACTTTCTTCCTCATTCACATTGATGTGACATTGCCCACTCACATTCTGGCTGCTATTAATAGATCATATCATAGTTTTTAATGTGCATAGGCTGTTGTGTCTTGTTTGCTGTCTTTATGTTTTATTAGGTACTGTTCATAGATCTTCCCTGTCCAGCTGTGAAAAGGTTTGCGTAACTAGTATATTTTAAGATCTGATAAGACTGGACATATCACAATTTTACTTCCTATTACTTGGAAACTTTGATGTGCAAGTTGCAACTGTCTTCTTTTCATTGTATGCCCGCTTAGTGCATGTGTCCAGGGGCACTTTGAGGACACACAATCATCGAAAATAGATCAATACGTACAAGATACCAGCAAATAATCTGTTATATTGTACCATGTGAAAAATAAATGTTTATTATAGTGTCTGGTGAATGCTTAGGTAAGGTTTGTTTCATCTACATTTTCTGCCCACAGAAAGTTTCAGAGAGAAGAGATTCATAGGGCTCCTTCAGGAGAACCTGCGTGTATCAGTCCTAAGTATATGATGAACAAAGTTTACATTTATATTACAAATGACTAACTGAAATACTTATGTAAAGCAGCAGTCTCCAAAATGGGGCCTGGGAGCTGGATGTGGCTCTTTGCTTGTCTTTATCTGACCCTTGGGGCACTATTCCTCCCACTGATACCAACAATAAGGGTTAATTCCTTCCACTGACACCAATGATAAGGAACTAGTCCTTCCACTGGCACCAATAATGGGGCACTATCCCATCCACTGACACCATTGATGGGGCACTATCCTTCCACTGATACCAACAATAGGGCACTATTCCTCCAACTGACACCAATGATGGGGCATGAGTCCTCCCAATGATACCAACAATAGGGTATTATTCCTCCAACTGACACCAGTGATGGGACACTATGGGTTGATTTACAAAAACTGGAAAGTGCAAACTTTGATGCAGCTCTGCATAGAAACCAATCAATGTCCATGATTTTTTTTGTTATGCCTAAGCTTAATTGAACAAACTGAAGTTATGAAGTTAGAAGCTGATTGTGGCTACCATGCACAGCTGCACCAGATTTTGCACTCTCCAGTAATAGTAAATCAGTCCTCCTATTGACACCAACAATACAATGGCCTGCTTTTTTTACTTGTAAAATGGAGTTGTCATGTATTATAATTATTATTATACAGGATTTATATAGCGCCAGCAGTTTACTCAGCGCTCTAAAAATATGTATAGTAAATATTGTGGTGTCCAGCAAAACGCAAATCGCAGTATCAGCCCTTCATTATAAATTCGCTCCTAAATGAATCTTGCAGTGACAATGTTAAGCTTTGATTTTAATATCATGTTCATTTGAACTCTTGAATTGTACCGTTGTCTTTATCCCCACTTGAAAGATTTCACAATGGTCACTACGACAAATAGTGAAATTGAATCCCAAAAGCTACAGTTAAAACTATTAAACGGCTTGAAGGATTTCACAATGGTCACTAAGACAAACAGTGAAGTTGGATCACACCAAAGCTACCGGCATAAAAACCTGACAGAGGTCTTAACCCTTCTTGCACTCTCACCAAAACTATTGAAAGACTTGAAAGAGTTCACAATGGTCTCTAAGACAAATAGTGAAGTTGAATCACCCCAAAGCTACAGGAATAAAAACCTGACAGAGGTTTTAACCCCTCTTGCACTTTCACCAAAACTATTAAAAGACGTTCTGGTTGGAGCTCTGTTTTATATCCAATACACACCTTATTAAAACAGTATTGAACACCCAAAGGAAACATTATATTGCAGCTTATGAATTCTCAGATGTGATGGCTGTACTAGTTTCATTTTTAGGCTTTCTTTCTTCAATTTTCATCTGGTGATCCAGCCAGTAATTCTGATTTTTTTTTTCAAGCTCGCTTGAAGTTACAGGATCAATTTACCACTGGCAGGGGTTCTTAAAATGATCAGCTTTTATTTATTTATGTAAAACCTGTATCCCAAAAGGGAAAATACGGTTTGCTGTAATGGATTATAAAAGTGGTAACCTGGATTCAGCTTCAGTTTGTTAGTGTATTTAAATCTGCTTCCCCAGACTGACAATGCTGCTGTCTTCTGTGGCCCCTGAGCACTGTAATACAGGAGGTAAATTACTGGCCAGATCACATGGGGAATACATATGGAAAAAAGCCTAAAAAATGAATGCAGTCACCACATATAATGATTGGTAAGCTGCAGTATATTGCATTTTGGGTTTAACGTCCCTGGCGGTAAGATTATTTCAAATTTTTGGTGCTGAAAGCGGTACCATTATATTGCATGGAAATTTGGCGTTTTATATTGTAGGCCTGTAATTCTTAGGAATAACTCACTGAAATCTGTCCGAACAAGAGTCTAGTAAACATCCCGGGTATGATAAAACTTGAAACATGAAATCATAAATTATAATTGAATAAATAATCATAAAAAATAATAATATAATAATAATAAATGTAATTCAATAATATAATCAAACAAAAACACTGAAATTTGAAATAGAGCGCCAAGTTCGCACATCACTGAGCAAAGTCGCAAAATCGTTTTCAGTGTCTGATGACAAATTTCCCCACAAATCATTATCACTCAATTCTGCAAGTGGTTCTGATTTACTAGCGCTGTTCTCTAGCTGGTCTAAAACCGCTTTTGACCTAAAGGGACTCTTTTTGGACGCCATGGACATTTCTCAGTTTTCAGGCAGAAAGAACAGTAAAAATGCAGGCAGGGCACAGGACAAAGCACTCGGGACAAAATGTATGTGAAATGGTTTGATACAGGAATGTTTTACTTTGTGATTTTAGTGATTTTTGTGAGTCACTTTTTGTCATTTACAAATTTCCCGCCGTTCCGTCCCCATACGCTCCGACGCTTGCAGAGGATGGAACCCAGATGACAGATGCCGGCCTCCACCGGATTACATTGCCGGGGACACTGCAGGAGGGACATCACGGGAGTGCAGGACAAGGTAAGTGACCAAGGGATCCCGGAGCAGCGCCGCATGGTAAGCCCGAGTGTAGCTTGGGGTTACCGCTTGTGGTACTGAAACTTTACCCCGAGCTACACTCGGGAATACTGCCAGGGAGGTTAACCTTCCTGGCGGTAATCCCGAGTGTGACTTGGGGTTAATTTCAGTACCAAAAGCGGTAACCCCGAGCAACCCCCGGATTACACTGCAAGGATCCCTCAAGCCTTACCTTGTCCTGAGATCCCGCAAGGTCCTCCCGCTTTGTCCCCCCGGCCATGTCCGCCAGCCGATGCCAACATCCATCTTGTGAGTTCCGTTCCCTGCGAGCATCGAGACGTACAGTGGGTGGAACCGGCAGGAGATTCAAAAAAGTTAAAATTTGACATACACACAATACATTGTAATCTCTTAGTATTACATTACTGTATCAAACCATTTCACCTAAAATTTGTCCCTAGTGCTTTGTCCTGTGCCCTGCCTACACATTTACCGTTCTTTCTGCCTGGAAACTGAGAAATGTCCATAGCATCCAAAACTGTCCATTTAGGTCAAAAGCAGTTTTAGACCAGCTAGAGAACAGCGATAGTAAATTAGAACTACTTGCAGAATTGAGCAATAGTGATTCGTGGGGAAATTCGTCAGACACTGAAAACGATTCTGCGACTGTGCTCAGTGATGTGCGAACTTGGTGTTCTATTTCAAATTTCAGTGTTTTTGGTTTGATTACATTATTGAATTAAATTTATTATTATTATATATTATTTTTTATAATTATTTATATTATAATTTATTATTTTGTGTTTCAAACTTTATCATACCCGGGTTGTTTACTAGACTCTTGTTTGGACAGATTTAAGTGAGTTATTCCTAAGAATTACAGGCCTACAATATAAAACAACAAATTTCCATGCAAAACAATGTACCGCTTTGACATTCAAAAATATTGATTAGTTAGACCTCCAGGGAGGTTAATACAGCTCTAAGCTCTGCACCCTTTTATACAAGGCAGATATGAGAATCTGATATAGCATAGTACCGCTTATAATAATGTTCTGGGTGACAGTGACCCTGACATGACTTGGTTAAAATAAAAGTGACTTGTAGCCAGTTCACTGTCCCTGAGTGAAAAAGCGCACTTTGAAAATGGCGTTCTGTTTTTCTGATTTCTAGCTTATAACATCACACTTGTGGTTTGTAGTCTGAAGCAGTTTAGTCAAAAAAGCTCAATAAATACAGCACAATGCCTTAAACAGGAAACCATTGGAGGCATGTATCTTATGTATCATTCATAGATAATACAATTGTGGTCTTGACTAACTGAACTGTGGGAAAACCACCTACTATAAAATGCCATTTCCAGATAAAGGCCTTAGAATGAAAAGTTCCTCCTTCTTTACTTCAGCAAGCTGCCTTACCCTGTGATGTACTATGCTTTCTTTTCTTTCCTCTTCACCCCTAACAAAGCCAACTTTGTATATTGTGGCTTTTTGCACTTGCATGGGCTTGTTCATGTAAGTTCAAAATAACAAGCGAATCCCTGGCTGCGGCTTTAAAACACATTGTATTCCATGTTTAACATAAATGGCATTAATCCTTTTACTCTTGTTGTGACTGTCTACAAACTACAGACATATTGTCACATTCGTGAGAAATGTTTTATAGTTGTCTGATGACTGTTACAGTGACCCTTCCCACCTCCTCACTCATGCTAATCATTATTTCTCAAAGCAGCTTAAAATGTAATTCTTAATCAAATATATTGCTTGTTGGAAAGGAAGAAGAGAGGAAGCATTTGAGCCCTTTGGCTATATTTACCCATTGCAGAACAAATATTAGTTGGATTCCCAACAACAAAAAGATTTTGTAGCGTTGCTGAGTTTATTTAGGTTTCCGGTTAATTATACCTTAGGGAATCTCGAGACGTTTTGTAAAATATGACCTAAAAACAACAAAAAATAAAATAGAGTTGTCTGCTTAAAGAAGAACTAAACTCACTGATTTACCTGGTAAAAGGTTACATGCCTTTGATGATACCTGTCACAGCTGCCAGTGTGCCAGCCTGCTCATGTCATGAAAATAAAGAAAAAAAAAAAAGATCTACACCAAAACCAGCAGGAAATCTGTGGACACCAAACATAGCAAATGACCTCCACTAAAGTTTATAGGAGCTCAATCTTGCTATTTTTCTGGCCTTTTTTTTTTAAAGCCAATTTGCAAACCTTTGGTTTAGGGACATGAGTATTTGGGCACTACCCTGGAGGACATGTGCCGATCAAAAACAATATTTACGAAAAATAACATTAAGCCAGGAGTGAATATTTAATGCAGCTTAAAGGACAGCATTGACAACACAATTCCTTCAAATAACAAATGCTTAGGGGATGTCTTAACCCTCCAGAGGATTTACCCCCCTTTGTGACCAGGCCATTTTTTGTGACATGGCACTGTGTTACTTTAATTGACAATTGCACAATTATGTAATGTTGCACCCAAATGAAATTTATGGGGGGTTTTCCCCACAAATAGGGCTTTCTTTCGGTGGTATTTGTTCACCTGTGCATTCTTTATTTTTTTGCACTATAAACAAAAAAAAGACCAACAATTTGGAAAAAAGAAAACAATATTTTTGACTTTTTGCTATAAAAAATATCCAGTAAAAAAATGTAAGAAATCTAAATTTGTCACAAATTTAGGCCAAAATGTATTCTGCTAGAGGTCTTTGTTTAAAAAATCCAAAATTAATTGGTTCACGTGAAAGTTATAGTGTCTACAAATAACAGTATATATGCTGGAATTTTTGTTTGTATTTTTTTTATACTAGTCAGCAACTTATAGTGGGACTGCGGTGGGCATTCTGACAGTGGGTGGGAACTGACTAACTGCCACTGAGATCCCAATGACACTAATAAAAAGCACTGACACTGTACTAATGGCACTGGGCAGGAAGGGGTTAACATCTGGAGCGATCTAAGGGTTAACTGACTGCTGTGTACTGTTTTACAACATGTGCTGTTTGTGTTTTACTTGGGAAACATGCTGCTGTGTATTTCTCTGCTGTGCACCCCCTACCCAGAAATGTAAATTAGGTATATATACGTGAGTTTGCACAGCCTTTCTACCCTGTAGCAGTATTTCTGCTATAGGGTGGCCGGCAACTGGTTAAAGCTGCAAGAGAACTTGCACATGATGTACTTCTGTAAAAGTACTAAGGTGTGTAAAAAGTGTTGTGGGGACACTTTCAATAATCCACACCAGACCCTTATTCACTGGATAAGGGTCTGCTATAGATTTTGAGGGGGACCTCATGCAACAAAAAATGGCATGGGTCCCCTAAGAAAATCATAATTTTTTTATCTTTGATAAGGATTTGGTATGAATTTTGAGGACAAGCAAAAAACATACAAACAAAAAAGCAATGGATCCCTCTAACAATTCATGTTAGACCCTTTTTTGAGGCAGGAAAGGGGAAACAGCAAGCATAGGGCCTTCCTTCCTGAAAAATACCAGACCACAAGCCACAGATTTCAACATTGGGAACATACCTTGCAGAGCTACACAGAGGCACCATACACAGTGTCCTCCCCAATGCACAGTCTGACTGTGATTCAAGAGGGATAGCAGCAGCACACAGTCACTGGGATCTCACACACTGGTCTGTGTTCACAAGTGTGTCTGGATTGTTGGATGCATCCTTCCAATATCATCCAGACATTTCTCCAGTGAACTCTTCAGACCAGATCCCCAAAAGAAATCCCTCAGCCAGCTCCAGACAAGTTCAGTAGAATAGCCCCCCCACCCCCCACCCTTTCTGCAGCTAGCACAGATGGGACCTTGATGAGCAGTAAAAAAGCATAGATCGACTGCCCAGAAGGGCAGAATCCCTCCAGACTGTGATCTTTGCCTCCTGGTCAAGAACAGGGCAGCTCCAGGCTTCAGATTATTTATACTTGCTCCAAGCCACCATCCGAATACAGTCCCCCAGGGATTGGCTGCAATTGGAGACAGCAAAAATATTCAGCTGCTGATTTGCTTCATCCAGCCCACCACTTTCCAGAACTGTCCAGAAGGCAGGGGGAAGCACTCAAACCCACTGCCAGTGAAACTCAGAGCAGACCAAAGCAATCACAAGCAGCTCCACGGATTAGATGAGAGCTAACAATAATAAATTTACCTTGCAAGGAGGAAAAGTGTTGCCGTAGGTGGTTCCAATGGACCTTCTGTACCTACACTAGTGAATATGGGTCTGTTGTGCACTCTGGGGAGTGAGACATCCTTTTCCCTCTTCAGTCCCTTGCCCCCCCTTCCCCTTCTTTCCCCCGACCCCCTTCCTTTTCAGGGTTGATTTCTTTATTCTTTCTGTGAACCTTCTTGTGCAGTGTTATTTTTTAAAAATACAGATGGTGTGGCAGCACCCATATATTGCAGAGTTCCCCTTTAAGCTTTAAGGTTTCTAAAGCTTCTGTTTGCAGATCTAAGCTATCAGTTCAGTTTCTCCCCCTCATTTCCTGTGGACAGTCTGTCTCAGTTTAGCAGCTGACACCCTGAACTTTCAGTTGGTGATCGTTCCACAAAATGTAAAAAACCACAAGACTATATCCTATGTACTGCTTAGACTATGTGTCAAAGGTATAACAAGCAAAGAGGAAATATATCACTGTGACGTAATTGTTGGTATATACATATATGCTGTTACAACTTACTTAGCTTGCTGGCACGAGTTGCTTGCTAGGTCACTCAGCGCTGATTATTAAACAACTTGTTTTCCTCAACTTCGTGTCCGGAGTTTTCCTGGTATTCCCAAAGTTGCTACTACAATGGGATTCTTATTTTCTATGTCTTGTTATCTCAGTTTTATTCCTGATGATAGCTTTTCAACTTTTTGAACAAGAAGATTTTTACATAGCAAAGTATGGTGTTTCACTGTGGAAATTGATTATGCTGAAACTTGTGCTGCTCCTTAAGCATTCCTGTTTGTATGTAAAGCCTCTTAAATAAAGAATGTTAAAAGAAAAAAATAATTTACTTAATCAAGTACATATCTGGAAGGCGCTACAATTAAAGTGATTATTTGGTACATTCATGAGGGTTAAAATGATGGAGAATTTGCGTTTTGTATTATGTAAGTT